GAATCTTTAATTTACCGTGTTTTCATCTTTCGAGAGGAATTTCGTGTTCCAACCGAAAATCTGGTATTAACCGGCATCAGTACTTAACTGCATTATAATGTATTGTTTTTTGGTTCTCAAAATTTCTATATTTGTTATGTCCATCGAGCATCACTCACTCCTGCTATTAAAGTAGGATTGATTGGTATTTGCTTGATAAGTTATTATCCCGTGTTTTCATCTTTCGAGAGGAAAGTTATGTTCCAACCGAAAATCTGGTATTAACCGGGCTACTACTTCTAATGCTATTTAACAATTTAAATTGTGTATTTTATGCTTACATTTCTGGTAGAAAGCGATCAGCGCCTTGGAGATAGCTTGACGGATGGCGTAAATTTGAGCCACATGACCACCACCGCTAACACGTACACGGATGTCTACGCCAGCGAATTTTTCCTGCAAAATTGCACTTATGTTAATATTCAATGTAGTCACTAAATTATCTCATTGATGAAATATGTTTTCAGTTAAGAAACTTGTTTCATTATATTCAATTTCGGGATAAGTAAGACTCATCACAGAGCTGTACTATGCGAAATCACTGCATAAACAACTCACCTTGCCCAACAGCAAAAGTGGCTCCTGCAATTTGTATTGCAAAACTTTGGGTTCAATTTGTTCCAAAGGACGGCCATTGACTCTCAAGAGACCATGTCCACGCTTGCAGTAAGCAACAGCGGTGGCGGTTTTCTGCAATTACAAATGTTCCATTAATTTTTCGTATACCATTTTAGATTCCAAGGCACGTGTAAACCACGGGTCTTTCATTTCATATTTCAATTATTGCTTACCTTGCGTCCGAAAACTTGCACAGCGTGCACGGGCTCTCTGCGCTGTAATTGACAAAAAATTTTAAAATTATTACAAAAGCTTACATATATAAAAAATTATTTAAGCAAATTTACTTTTTGCTGCATCTTTGCTCAAGCAACTTTGTGAAAAGAACGGAAAGGACAGGAAAAGGCCATTGCGCCACTGAACTGTAATTTAACGAAACGAAATGTCAAATTCTCTCGTTCAATGCAGCAGCGCACTCTAAAGTGATATGTTTCAGAATTTAATAATGAAATAATTTTATATATTAATTAAAAATTATGTCGAAATCTTAATTGTCTGTATATGATTAAGTTTACTCATTAATATATGTGTATTTTGCATTTATATATACTAATTACATTTTGTTGATATATATATATGTTGCAAATTCATTGACTGTTCGAAGCTGTGCTGATTTTTGTAACTTTGTGTCACCCGATACCTATAATCGCTGTCATTCATATAGTATAAAAAATTGGTTTTGTACAGGAATGGAAATTTATTACTGCGATATTTTAATTTTTCGCTTGACTTTAGTGTAATTATTAGTTTCTGCGTACCTTAATTAAAAAGGAAAAATACTCGCGTACATTTCGCCAAAATAATTGATAAGTTGGGAAAATGTCTAGTGGACGCGAAGAAGGAGAAATCGATTCAGAGGAAGATGGTCTGCGGAAACGCATACATGAGCTTGAAAATGAAAATGCTGAATATGAAAAGATCAAGCGAATTTCCGAAAGTTATGGTGATAAATATGGTAAGCACATGACGACAGCAAATGGATTTTTGTTTCCTATTCGTAAGGTATGCCTTACAATGAATACAAAGACTTTCCATAGCCTCTGGCCATGTAGATATGTATGTTAAGCAACATGTACAATACATAAATATGTATGTATATAGTGCTCGTGTTAGCTCTTAAGTAAATATGGACAAGGTTATTATTAAGCGATATCAGACGCTTATCAGTTTAGTCTTCTTTATTAATTTTCTATATATTTTCATAGATGTTCTGTTATAGTTTTTATGTAAGTTAACTCATTGCAATCATGCGAAAATCTATCATAATTACATATAAAACACAAATTGTTTTATTTTTATATGCAGGTAACATGTATAGACTGAATGAATTTAATGACTGGGAAGCTGTACAACGCGCTGGTCAAGTGCCCACCGATGTCTCCTCAATTTCTTCCGATGAATTTCCCTCGCCAAAAAAGAAAAAACATAAAAGAAATAAAAAAGCTAAATGCAAAATGCATGAGCGGCGTGCACTGCAGCGTAGTCATCGTTGTACGCATCAACGGCACAAGCACAGTAAAAAACATCAACATCATCACCGGAGAGAACGTCTCATCAATACTTTCTATGAAAGTCGTGGTATTGAAACAATATCATTGGACACCACCGATAATAGTGAATATGAGAAGGATAACTACTCCATAGCTACAATGGATATTGAAAGTACCGATGAAAATGACGCTGACATAACATTACCTTTAAGTCGTGAAGAGCTCCGTTTGGCGCTGGGACGTGGTAAAACGGAAAGAAAAAATAACGTCTGCTCATTAAAAGAACGCTTGCAACCGGATAAATTTATTGCACTGGATAACATGGAAAAGGTACAAATATTGGAAGAATCCGCTGCGAATTCAAATGACGCGGAAAATGTTGTAGAAATCAATAGTGATAATTCCATTTCGATTGAAGAGCAAGAGTTGCGTTTGATTGCGCTCAGATCGGCGATAATGCGTAAACATGCGACGCGTAAAAAACGTAATGACGAGATTGCCTATTCACCAACCGATTTTGATGAGCTGCTGGTTGAGCCCGTTAGTTTGGTCGATACGGATATTGAGGAATTAGAGGGTGACATGGAAATAAGTCCGGCTAGTTCACCCCGCTTGCTGCTTAGTCCCATACAGTGTGACGATGAACAAAATAGTAATATTAGTTTGGACACTGAGGATAATCAAGTGGACAATAAATCTGTAGATATGGAGCTAGCAAGTAGTGATAGCGAGCAGGAAGACAATAGTAAAAATATCATCAACACGGATATGTCATATGCACAAATGCACGATATACCGCTACCAGCTGGTCTACCAATGGATAGTGGTGTCAGTTTGCCCTTGACATACGATTATGCAAGTAATATCAATCACGCGATGGCCTATGATATGTATATGCCGGCGATGCAATATAGCTCACCGATGGAATTGCCACCGCCACTGTTGCCAATGTCTGCGTTAACAAGCACAACGCAGCCATTGGATGCATACGACGTGACGTCGCAAAATGCCACTAGCAGTGACGATGTGACGTGTGTTAAGCATGAAGTCGTCATTGAGCCTCAAAGGGTTAGCCTGTCGCCCAAGTCATCAACTATGGAGATTATACAACAAGAAGAACTACCTGAGGAATGTAGTGATGAAGAAGAGGCGGAAGCTTTGCGCGCGTTACTACTATCACAACGTCAAATGGCGAAAACCATAAAAGCTAATAGCTTGACACAAATACGCAAACAATCGCCAACGTATGCGCAAAAAACATTTGAAGATGTCAAAAGCTCTAAAAGTATGATAAAAGCACCAGCACTGCAACCAAGCATACTAAGTGAGTGCAACGTCAAGCCTACACCTACTGAGTCGATTTTGAAAGAAGCTGTGCGCCGTTTGAAAGTCAAAACATTTGCAAGTTGTGAGAATGCGCATGCGCAGGATGTACATACGGTGTCTGAAACGCTTGCACCACGTTTGAAGATTAAAGCTTTTGCGCGCTGCAGAGAAGTTGAAGAAGTAGCAATAGCGCATGCGCAAACTACGCATATAGCTGAAAACGCAACAATAGCATTTAAAAAGCAATCCACGAATTTCCATAATGCATTTAGTAATCACGAAGAGTTTCCGAGCAGCACTGAAGGCATACAATGCAAGAGCACACCCGAAATTTTGGACGCACAAACAAATTCGCCCGAAAATGTCACAACATTTGTACATAACAAACGGCGCTTGGACAATATGGACACTGTGGAACCGAAGTTAACTGTAAAAGAACTGCCACAGCTTGCTGAAAGTCTACATTCCTCAGAGGACAGTAACAGTTTGCCGTTGCAACAAAGCCAAAGAACACAGCACACTTTTGAGACCCAAGCTAAGAAACTGAAAAGGTCTTTGGAACAGACAAACCATGCGCCTGTCGCAGATTTGAACGACTTGCAGGGCAAAATGCATACACAGGAGATTATGAAATTAGAAGGAGATGCCAACAGCAGTGGTGAGAAGGAAAACAAAGAGATTTCTAGCGCAACGATGAACAAAAACGAAAACGCAACTCACACCGTCACAAAGGCGAAGTCAACGGCCAAGCCTGTTGCTAAAACTCTGAAGGTCACACCGAAAAACAAAGCCAGTATCACACTCGCGACAGCAAAAAACACAACGGTGCCTCCAAAAATTAGCGTAGCTCCACCGTCGAAGGTCATAAAGCCACTAGCGCAACAGTTAAAAATTGTTAAGCCCAACAAAGTCATCAATAAAAACCTGGAAGTACAGCAGCGGACACAAAAGGCGGATAATCTCAGCATACCGAAAAAGTCTGACGCCAACAATCAGCCATCGCGCATACTAACACCCACCACATTACCGAATATTAAAGTGAAAAAACTGATTATACAATTGGGTGACACTGATTCCTCCTCAGAGGACGAGGAGATTATACGCAATCAAACGTTGGAGCGTTGCATTGGACTGGCGACAGCGCGCACCCAGACACCTGATTCATTGAGTTATATCCTAAATGAAAATGTTTACGGCAGCAAAGGTTGTAGCACGCCAACAGAAATGACAAACGCGCAAACTAATGATGACCTGTCCAATGCGTCAGTGGCTAAAGATACGACCGTCGGTGAAGCCTTCGAAAAGAAATTGGAAAATTTCCTCAAAACTATACGCTCCAAAACGTTGCAGACGAACGAGCACGCTGAGCATGCGCATGCGCGCGTGCGTAAGCTTAGTAGCAGCAACGGCGTACAAACGCGCACACCCACGGTGCGTATGAGCTGCAAAGTAGCGCGTTTTATATGCTCTCTAATATCTTTAAAACCTAAATAGCTGATTTAGCTATGCCAGTATGTCTGTCTTTCCGTCTGTATATAAGCGATTAGACACGCAGTTTTTGAAATATCGATCTGAAATTTTTTACACGTCCTTTTCTCCCCAAGAAGCTGCTAATTTGTCGAGATCGCCGATTTTAGAACACTATAGAATATAGCTGCCATACAAACTGTTCCATCCAAATCAAGTCCTTGTATGGAAAACTGGTTTATTTGACGAGATATCTTAAGAGATATCTCAGATCGAAATATTATAGCATATAGCTGCCATACAAACTGACCGATCAAAATCAAAATAAAGAAATTTTTATACTTTTTTATGCTATAAGAAATGCAAATGTGAAGGATATTATAGTTTCGGTACAGCCGAAGTTTGTGTTTTTTTTTGTTTTGCTTGTTTTATTGCATTTTGCTTGTTTTATTGCATTTTGCTTGTTCTAGGCCGTACGCAGTCTTCCAATAGCCTCGCAAGAGGAATATAAACGGTTAGTGCATCGCATGAAGATACTGGAACGACAAAAGCAATTGAAGAAAATGCAAAAGAGCCTAATTGAGGATGCAGAAAAGTATACGAAAGCCAAACAAGACAATGCAGAGAACAATGTGCGAAGGTTCGATGATGCCAACGCGCCCAACACCAACTGCGCCAATGTCAAAACTACAAGCAGCGGCACACAGACCTGCAATGAAGCGCACAGTGCGGTAACTGAAAAGTCTACAGAAGTACATTCCGAAAAATCAACGCCGAACGAAAGTTTAACCATCATGCCGGCGTCGCCAACCGTAACGCCGCCGCGAAACCAGAAAGCACTAACGGATAAGCTGCGCTCCTGGGAAACTATTTACACCAGCATTAGGTAACATTAAAGCTAACTAATATTTTAGTGTATTTAATTAACGCACACGCTGCCCACGCTTCTAGTAATAACATCATAACAAGACTGGACAAATCGCTGCAGCTGGTGAATGAAGCGAAGTCTGCGAAAATCGCCAAAATGCGTCATGAGCAGCGTCTCAAGGAGTTGCGTCACGAAATGGAGCAGACGCAACGGAAATTGAAAGAAGAACAAGTGAAAATAACACGCATTCATCCACAAATATGCGCCAGCAATGAATTGATTTCGAAATTGAAGCAAAAACGCGCCAAGGTGCTGGAAATGGCTGTGAAGTTGGGCAAGAGTGTTAAGGGCGATGATTATAGGTATTTTAATAGTTCGTTTAGAATGTTAATTTTTAAGCTGCCATACCGTTCATACTACATACAATACTTGTGTAACATATTGACAAAGTGGTTGTAGATATTCAAGTGTTTTATACATACTCCTGCAATATTTTGCACACAAAGTAAAGTAGTTTTGCTCCAGCGGTTTTCTGTAACACCATAAAATAATCGGGATAGTTGCGAGGTTATGTACACATAATATTTTTTTATATGTCATCTCCAGTAGTTAGTTCAAGCAGCTACGGTAATATGAAAACAAATACCCTAACAACAACAACATACCAAAACAAACCTTTGCTGTAATCTTCTAAAAATTTACAAAAACGGTCTATTTCTTCTCTAAACCGCTGTGCAAAGATTGTACTGATTTTTGTCAGCCCTGTTGACTTCCCAATAGATTTATCGAAATTGAGTGAGATATCGTTGTGAACCTTAGTAAAATTGTTGTAGTTTGCATATTGTAGTTCCATATCAAAATCAGCTGCAGTAGATCCATAATTTGCACAGTCCATATATGTATATCGTGTATATTAGCTTTTTCTACTTAATTTGATAGTTATTTTTGTTTTTATTAGTTAATTGTTTAGTTATTTTATTTTGTTTGAAATAATAAATTTTTTATTTTCACTTTTTGTTATTTTTTCTTTTGTTCAAATTTTCAAAATTTCTTGAATGAAAACTTTCATTAAATACTTCTTTGCTTTTCCTTTTTAGATTATTATTTCTAATTTTACAATATTTATTGTTATTATTATTATTTTTTAAAATTATTATTTTTTTTTAAATCATCATTATTATTTTTTTTAATTATTATTATTTTTTTTTTAATTATAATTATTTTTTTAATTATTATTTTTAAAATTATTATAATTTTTTTTTAATTATTATTATTTTTTAATTATTATTTTTAAAATTATTTTTTAATATCTTTATTATTACTATTACTTTTATTTATTTTTTATTTGAGCTCTTTCAAACTTTTTAGTTATTTAAATTTTAATTCCTTTTATTTATATTTTTTATATCATTTTATTGTAAATTAATTTTTATATTAATTTAATGTTTATATTAATTTAATTTATCATTTAGATTATTAACAAATATTTAATGTTAGATGATATATTAGTTAAGTACGTACAAATGCATATATGTATGTATTTATTTATAATTTTTTTTTTAATTTTAAATATTTATATGTATGTATTATGTTTACTTTTCTTTAATATTTCTTTAAACAATTTTTATTTAAAAAAAATTTTTTTAGAATTATTTTTAATTTATGTACTTTTATTTATTTTTTATATATTTTAATATATAATTTGTATTTATATATATTATTTGTAATTTTTTTTTTAATATTGTAATGTTTTTTTTAATATTATTTACAATTTTTTTTTAAATATTATTTCTAATTTTTTTTTAAATATTATTTGTAATTTTTTTATACTCTCGCAACCTGTTGCTACAGAGTATAATAGTTTTGTTCACCTAATGGTTGTTTGTATCACCTAAAATTAATCGAGTTAGATATAGGGTTATATATATATAAATGATCAGGATGAAGAGACGAGTTGAAATCCGGGTGACTGTCTGTCCGTCCGTCCGTCTGTCCGTCCGTCCGTGCAAGCTCTAACTTGAGTAAAAATTGAGATATCTTTATGAAACTTGGTAGACATGTTTCATGGTACCGTGAGACGGTTGGTATTGCAGATGGGCGTAATCGGACCACTGCCACGCCCACAAAACGCCATTAATCAAAAACAAATAACTTGCCATAACTAAGCTCCGCAATAAGATACAAGACTGTTATTTGGTACACAGGATCACATTAGGGAGGGGCATCTGCAGTTAAAATTTTTTTTTAAAAAGTGGGCGTGGTCCCGCCTCTAATAGGTTTAATGTGCATATCTCCTAAACCGCTAATGCTATAATAACAAAATTCACTGGAAGCAAATGTTTTTAGCACTTCTATTGACGGTGTGAAAATAGTTGAAATCGGGTGGCAACTCCGCCCACTCCCCATATAACGGTACTGTTAAAAACTACTAAAAGCGCGATAAATCAAGCACTAAACACGCCAGAGACATTAAATTTTATCTCTGAGATGGTATAAGATGACTTTATAGGAACCGCGTTCAAAATTAGACAGTGGGCGTGGCACAGCCCACTTTTAGGTGAAAACCCATATCTTGAGATCTGCTCAACCGATTTCAACCAAATTCGGTGCATAACGTTCTTTTCATGTTTCTATGTCATAGTGCGAAAATGGGCGAAATCGGACTACAACCACGCTTACTTCCCATGTAACACCATTTTCAATTCCATCTGATTCTTTCACATTCAACTATGCAAATCAGGTAAAAATGATTATATCGGGGTAAAACTTTGCGTGAATAATGCAATTAAAGTATGCCACCTTGCGGCCAAAAATTGTCTAAATCGAACCAAAACTGTTCAAACCCCTAAGTACTAAATATGTGGACCCCAGTGCCTATAGTTGACCTTCTACCGAAAATATCAGTCAATCCACAAAGAAATCTCAAACGAGTATACCATTTGACCTTGCGAGAGTATAAAATGTTCGGTTACATCCGAACTTAGCCCTTCCTTACTTGTTTTAAATATTATTTGTAATTTTTTTTTAATAATCTTTGTAATTTTTTTTAAATATTATTTGTAATTTTTTTTTAAATATTATTTGTAATTTTTTTTTAAATATTATTTGTAATTTTTTTTTTTAATGTTATTTGTAATTTTTTTTATGTAATTTGTAATTTTTTTTTAATAATGTTTGTAATTTTTTTTAAATTATTTTTTTGTATATTTTTAGCTTTTTTATTTTATTTTTTTATATATTTTTTATATATATTTTTATTTTTTTATATTATTTGTTATATGTTTTAATATTTTTTTTTATTTAAAAAATATTTTTTGTTATTTAAAAATTTAATTATTTAAATATATTTTTATTTATTTATATTTATTGTTTTAAATAATTTTAATTTATTATTTTTTTTTTTAATATGTTTTATTATTGTTATTTATTTTTTTATATATTAATATTTAAAAAAAAGTTTTTTTTTGATATTTCTTATAATCTTTTTATTTTTTTATATATTAATATTTAAAAAAAAGTTTTTTTTTGATATTTCTTATAATCTTTTTATTTTTTTTTTAATATATTTCTATTTTTAAATACTTTTTATTTTTATATTTTTATTTTTTTTTTTTGTTTTTATAATTTTTATTTGACAACTGTTCCATATATCGGCAGCTGTATTGCTAGCGGATAAGATTATGAGACAATTTGCTCTGAGCCATTACATGTTAGTGCTGCCATATTTGTTATTTTTAAAATTTTGCTTAGAATAAATGCGAACTATTAATTTTTCACAGATCCCTACTAATTGCTTGCTTTTATTCCTCTGTAGATTAAATAATGATTTGAAAAATGAAATAGCGCATAAAACAAAAGGATTGGCCACACATATAAAACTTGTTAATTCCATAAGATATAGTGATCTAGAAATATTAGACAAATTACCGGCCAATAATGCAAAAACTACAAATGCCATAAATGCGCCACAAAGTCAGCTCGCCTGTGATGAACTGGTCTCAAAGCAACTGCCATCAACGGACCACAACAAACGCATAGCGTGTGACGTGCATGAAAGTGCTGCGCTTATATTGTCAACGCTTGCAGCTAGCGACACAAGATCCGAAGCCGAAACCGAAACCGAAGCACGAGCTGCAAACACAAATGCCAATGATAAGCAAAGCAATGCTCAGGAATCAATCGAAAGCTGTGATAAACAGTGCGAAGTGGAGCCAGCGCCTAGACTGGTAGCTGCTGACACATGCATTGAGGAGGTGGCGGTGGAGGAGGAGCAGCCTGCGCCGTGTGCGAGCGTCAAAGAAGTGCGTGCCTATTGTCTTGAAGAACTCTTACAAATTAGTAGCTTTTATCATGCAATACAATATACATTACATACATACGAGTATATGCATAAATATGTAGTAACTAGTACCCTATATGCAAATTTCTCCATAATAACACAATTATTGAGTATGTTTAGGTGCTGCACGAGGACTGCGCGCCGACAAAAGACAGCACGACAACGAAGGACATGGAGGTGAAGCTGCAGCAGGGGCGCACACTGCGCGACTACGTATCACCGCTGCTGCACTTACGTAGCGAAAGTGGGTGGGTATTAAGCATGCGATTGTGAGCAACTGAATTTACTTAATTTACATATATCAACTATAGAATGTGCATAACTTAATTAATTATTTACAATTTAATGTGCTGCACTGTATATATTGCATAAATTGCGTCATCATCTAGCGTTGTATTGACTTTGCAGAAAATGGAACCCGAACGATATTATCTGTCCGTACGAGTTGATGGGCCAATGCGAGGATAAGGACTGCAGTTATACGCATTTGAAAATGTGCATATAGAAAAAAAGTTGCCGCTAAAAATGCTTGCAGCGTCTGCAGCAAGTGTACATATACGTAAAATGTATATCGTTTTTCCAAAACAAAAAAAAAGTATAACAAAATAAAGGAGTACTCCGAATAGAAGTTGCCTAATAGGTAAGTTAAACCACTCAATTTAGAATTATACAGAGATTGTGTAACGCGTCCATTTGAAATTTACCTATACCACTCGTGCATAATTTTCTATTGAAATTATATGTTTTTTTGTGATAAGAGCATTTTTCAATAATTTTTAGTTTATTATTTGAGTTGGTGGTGTGGTGAAAAGTTCTTGCTAGAAATGCAGCACAAAGGTCGGTTGAATTTATTGCGCTAATTTGCGCCGAAATCTGAAAGTGAAATAAAAAATGTAATATAATAATAATAAATACTTTTTTTTGTTTAAAAAAAATTTTAAGCGGTCAATATATACTTTTACAAAATTTTATTCATTTATTTTTTTCAATTAGAAGGTGCCATATTGTGTTTTTGCATATAGTTTATGCAAATAATGGAGCCTTTGCTGTATTTTAGCAAACTTGCCACATTCTTTTTTGATTTTTGTAAAATTTAAAAATAAATTTAAGATATAATAATAAAAAAAGGAAAAATATTGTTTTATAACGTTGTTATAAGAAAAATTGTTTACAAAGTGAAATAAATAAATACATAAGTGTTATAAAAAAAAATCAATTGTCTTTTATTTAATTGCTTCGTTTCTGGCGGTTTTACTCTCAAAATGCTGGTTGTTTTTTCCATCGTTGGTTGTCTAGTATTGGCTCTTCTATTGAAGTGGTAGCGAAGATTAGCTACTTTAAAGTAAGTGTGCTTTCTAATGCATAAAACTGGAGGCAAGCCTCTAATATGGTTGGTAAAAAAAGTGTTTGCATGTTTGGAACATCGGAGCCCTGGCAGTGAATTCCTTTATCATTCAACACGAGTTTACTAGGTTTTGAACGAAGTTTGTATTACCCAGTAAGAAATGGCGGAGATCCTATAATATATATGTATATATAAATGATCAGCGTGACGAGCTGAACCGAGTCCGTCTGTCTGTCAATTTGTATATACGCGAATTAGTCCCACAGTTTTGGAGAAATCGATGTGAAATTTTGAAGATGCCCTTTTCTCCCTAAGAGACTACAGTTTAATCAGAATCGCCAATATTGGGCATATATATACATAGCTGCAAACTCATCGCTCAAAATCAAGTTCTTGTATGAAAATGTGGTTTTCTCGACAAGATACATTCCCGAAATTTGTCATAGATTAATATCGAAGGCATATCGTTGGCTTTCTCCACACAAAGTTTTTCAGAGCCGACGTTAACATATATAGAGGGTTACGAATTTTTTAATTAAAAATTTTTTTAATTATGAATAAATTTTTTTTAATCCCGATGTTGGGGTTAAAAATTAAATCTTAATTTTTTAGTCCCGATGTTGGGATTAAAAGCTGAATTAAAATTTTTTAATCTAATATGTTTGGGTTTAAAAATTGAAAATATAATATTTTGATTTTAGAGAACGCGAAAATGTGTTAATTCAAAAACAAATTCTTTTTTTATTTCTTAACTATATGCTTGAAATTAAAATTTTTACTTTTTATTTTTCAATCCGGTAGTTGGGATTAAAAATTAAAAATAAATTTCCAATGTTAATTCAATTATTTATCCAATGCATTATTAGCAGATTGAACAGCAGCCACAGTTAAATAAATTTTCTTGTTTCATGATATTTTTTTTTTTTGAGGTTAGTTTTGTTTTCATAATTTTTATTTTCAATTAAGACAGTTTCTGAATTAACTGTACTTTCATGCTTTTAAAACATTTATTTATTTAATTTTTTTTTTGCTTTTACATTATCTGACCAACCAGCCTTCGGTAATTAACAAAAGGTGCAAAAGCTCAGCATTTACCTGATTACCAAATGAACTGAATAATGCCAAGCAGAGGTGAGGTTTCAATGAGATCAAAAGAAGGACACGACCCAACGTTGCGTTTACGCAACTAATTGGATTGGTTTGTTGCACTAAGCACAACAATAACAATAAAAGCTGAAGCGCTAGCACGTTTTAGAGGTCGTATTTGGAAAACGTGCGAGTTGTCACATGCAACGGACAAACAAACACACTTACATACTCGTATACGTACGTATGTATGTACTTGCAGCTGTGCATTGAGTTTGAGGTGAGTGCGGATATTTACAGTGTGTTGCAAAATTATGCAGGAGAAGAGAAAATATTGTATTATAGGTATTTATGAATTGTTAATTAAAGTTTCTGAGGAATATACATAGATAACAAGTTAAATGTAAAACTAAAAAAAAAAGTTAATGTAATAAAAATGTACAAGTGTACGTATGTATGTGTAATAAAAAAAACTTAAGTAAAGTTTAAATAAAATCAAAATACATTCAGATTTTTTTTATAACTAAAAATATTTGACAAAATAAAAATAATTTAATTATAAAAATTTAATAAATTAAATAAGATAAAATTAAACATTCAAATATATGAATAATAAATTATAACTATAATTCATAAAAAAAATAAATAAATGAAAAATTTAAATAATATAGTTAAGTAAAATAAATTAAATTAATATAAAATAAAATCAAAAAATTTAATTTAAATTTGATTAAAATATAAAAAAAATTTGAGAAAATTAATATTGATAAATTAAGCTAAATAAGACAAAAAAAATTAATTAATTAATTGTAATAGTCTTATTTAAAATTATATATAATTATTTTATTTAAGAAAAAACTGGAAAATTTAAATAATACAATTAAGTAAAATAAAGTGAAATGATGTAAAATAAAACCAAAAAATATAAAAATTATAATTTAAATCAAATAAATACAAAATTTGGGAAAATTAATATTAACAAATTAAGGTAAAATGAGAATAATAAATTAATTAAGTGAAATACGCACATGCAAAGATTAAAACTTTGTTTCAAAAAAACGTCTAAATAATAAAAATAAATAAAAAACTAACAGTAACAACAAATAAAATTATTAAAATTATATATATTAATTATTTCATATATCATAAATAAATGGGAAATTTAAATAATATAATTAAGTAAATAAATTAAATTAATATAAAAAAAAATCAAAAAATATAAAAAATTTAAATTTGGTTAAAATAAAAATACAATTTGAGAAAATTGACAAATTAAAATAAAATGAGGATAAAAAAATAGTTAAGTTAAAAAAAAAGCACATATGTATATAATATGAATATGTATAGTTTAAAAAGTTGCTTCAAAAAACTTATAAATAATAAAAAATATAAACAAAAATAAAATAAAATATAATGAAAATTCACTTATTATTATTAAAATAAAAAGCATAAATCAATCAATTACAAAAAAAAATTAATAAATAAAAAAAAAATTAAAAAAAAATAAATTGCAATTACAAAAAAATATACGTAGAGCTTAAAAATTTACCTCAACAAACTTATAATTAGTTAAAAATAAAAAATAAACAAAAATGAAAAATGAGTACAAATAAATAAGCGAGTAAAATTAAAATAAATATAAATAAAAAATAAATACGAATAAGAAATAAATAAAAAATTGAATTAAAATTAATTTTTATTTTGCATTTTCTGAGGCAATTTTTTTTTTAAATCTGAAATTTTGACGTGAGATTGTTTGATTGAAAATTAGGGTTTATTTCGACTTTAAGTAGAAATACTGTTTCTTTCTTAATATTTTACATAAATACAAAATACAGTGTATTTGGCTCATAAGAAGCTTAGTTTACACCAAATTTCGTCAAAAAACTAATTTTTTTGTGCAAGATAACAAAAAACCCAAAAACTTGGTTATTTGAAATTTTCAAATTAAGTTTGAGTTTATGTGAAAAAGGTCTATATGCAAAAGTTATAGATTTTTTCATTACCTACTGCATTGCCATATAACTTTTTTCTATAGGGCTCGTAGTTTTACCGGAAACAGAGATAAACTGTTTTTAGCCCTTAAAATTCAACTACGCCCCTTCCCTTCCTTCTCCCGGCGTCAGACGCGCGTAAATTATTCTTTTTACTGTTTGTTATTTTATCTTTCGTTTCCGATGAGTTTCACCCTACTGTAATTTTTTTTTGTTTTCAAATATTATCTAGCCTGGTCTAATACAGTGAGTTTGTTCAAGGTGATCTCACATATAGTTCAATGATCTCCGCTGCTTTACAACAATTTAGCACATTCATAGATAGCTATATATGTACATGCATGTGTATGTATGTATGTAATATATTGAAGAATGCATTTCTTTATAAATTTGCTGCCAATAGTCTAGGCAAGTTTATTGTTCTTAGCAAAATTCGCCATTAACATTTTGTAAGTCACTGTGCTAGGTATGTACATATGTATGTATGTATGTAACGGGGTTTGTATTGAAACCTGTAGCAAATTAGCTGCATACATCTGTTTATACAATTATACATGATAATAGGTGTTTTCCGATTTTGTTGCATCGGCGTCTGCAGCTTGTGACACCCCCTTATGGCATTGCGCTGCAAACACAAACACACACACCGACATGCATGAATGTGGCGCCTTTCAAAAGTAACCGCATGTAGTACGTGACCCTGCCAATCACTCCAACAATAAGTGACTCTCCAATAATATATGCATCCCCGTGTACTGGGTACGAGGTTCACTCGGTAAGAAATTAAAAATACAGTTTTGTTCTCCGCTTGCTGAGAAAACTTGTTTACATTAAAAAAAATTAGAATGTTACATTTACTCCAAATTCATCGTTATCCAAGATAGCAATAGTCGGGTTTCAAACCTAATATATGTAGCTTAAAAACAACATGTTTCAGATTCCTTTAATAATATCTGCGAAACTCATTACTAATAATACTTAATAATTGCTTCTAACTCTACTGTGAGGTGAGGTTAAGTTAGTCAAAGGCTCGTGGCTTCGTACCTCAGTCAAGCGAGCACCAAAAATTATAGTGGAAAAGTTTCAAATACTTCTTCTATATAGATATTAATCAAACTAACTAAACTATAAATCAATAGGTGAAGCTCAGCCAGTAGTAAATATTTAGGCCTCATGGGATCACACAACAGCACTATGCCTCATCGTCAATCATCATGCATTCAGTTCTTGATCAAAATATTGTTTTGTCATTTCATTCCGAGAACGTTGTTGTAATATTTATTCGATCTTGGAAAGTAGTAGTTGTAAGTTAAGTTTGATGGACCAACTAATTTAGTTAAGTTTTGTATGAGATAACAAATTTTTCAAGGCATTCAACACAACGCGGCTATGAACGTCGATGCACTATAGTCCAAATAAGGAGTTTACAGTATACTTGATGATTTATCAGTAAAAAAAAGAAAATAACGTAGCTATAATACCTTTTACAAAAGAATTTCTTATACAATAGCATGAATGAGCATAAAAAGATCTTTATCTTGATTTTGATAGCTCACTTTGTAGAGTTGGCTTGGAAAAAAATATATGCCGAATTACGTGAAGATATCTTGTTAAATAAAAAAAGCTTTACATAAAAGTTCCAGATTTTAATTGACCAGCTTGTATGA